CCCAGCACTTCGGGAGGCTGAGGTGTGAGGATCACCTAAGGTCAGGAGTTTGAGATCAGCCTCACCATCATGGTGAAAACCCATCTCTACTAAAAATACAAAAATTAGCTGGGTGTCATGGCATGCAGGCTGAAGCAGAAGAATTGCTTGAACCTGGCAGGTGGAGGTTGCAATGAGCCGAGATCGCACCACTGCGCTCCAGCCTGGACGACAGAGAGACACCGCATCTCAACAACAATAAAAAAAGTACTTGGCAAGTAGTGAGCACACTATACCTGGTGGCCACTATGAATATTGTTATTTTTGAGGGCTTGATGTGCCTGCACCCCAATTTTCCACACCCACAACTCTCCTGCTAGAGGACTAGGTCAGAAGCAAAAGGCCCTGCAGAAAATGGAAGTCTCTTCCTGATACCCCTCTAGACTCCCTTTGGGGGTCCAGTGTGCCAGGGCATGGTGGAGCCTGCATCTGTGACCCTGATGGGCTGCCCCAAGCCCGCTGACACTGGCCGTGCCAACCACAAGAAATTCTAAACATCTACCTTCTTATCTCAGAGCGGGTGACTCTCCCGGGCTTCAGGAATGCTGGTGGGGAGCCCCGCCCCCTCCTCCTCCTCCTCCTTCGCTGGGAAAACGCTGGAAGAGGACCGCTGAATCCCCTGGTCCCCACCTCCCAAGTTCTCCCCTCTAACTCTGGGACTCTCTCACATCAACACATTTCAGGAGGATCAGGACCTGCAGACTCCAACTCAGACACCCTCAAGCCTAGAGATGCCTACCTGGGCCCTCAACATCCCCCTACAGCAGAGTCCAGAGAGAATCTCACTGCAGACCCCTAGCGTGTCCCTAAGCCTCCATGATCCCAGCAATATTCTTTCTGAATAATTTCAGGATTCTTTGAGAAGAAGGTCCACCTGCTACGGTAGAGAAAAACACAAGATCTTGAATCCAGAGTCTTGGGTCTTAGTTATGACCCTAAACAAATCCCTTCCTCATTCTGTGCTTCAGTTTCTCCATCTGTGAAATAGAATTACCCTCTCTTACCTTGGCGTCCCTGTAGAATGGTTGACAGAACTGAACCAGCTTCCCGATGTAAGGGACACTCTAGAATTTCTACAAGCACCACCTTTTTCCTTCAAGCAAATCACTCCTCCTTGGCTTCAGTTTCTTCCTCTGCTAAACTGGAGGAAGATGTATGAGCCTGCCTCACTCCACTTTACAGTGCTGGGAAAGGAGGGGCAGAATAGACAAGCCTCTGTTCATCCGGCACTTTCTCCTTTTCAACTGGGAGCTCTTTGAGGCCAGGGACTAACCAGACCTTATTCCCAAGGCAACAAGAAGGAGGCTCACAGCAAGTATGTGTTGAATGAATACCTGACTGTGGATGGATGGGTGACATTGATTTAAGAATGTAAAAGGCTGGACGCAGTGGCTCATGCCTGTAATCCCAGCATTTTGGGAGGCCAAGGCAGGTGGATCACCTGAGGTCAGTAGTTCGAGATCGTCCTGGCCAACATGGTGAAACCCTGTCTCTACTAAAAATACAAAAATTAGGCCAGCATGGTGGCATGTACCTGTAATCCCAGCTACTCAGGAGGCTGAGGAAGGAGAGTCACTTGAACCCAGGAGGCAGAGGCTGCAGTGAGCCAAGATCACACCACTGCACTCCAGCCTGGATGACAGAACTCAGGAAAAAAAAAAAAAAAAGTGCCATCCACTAAGAGAGCTTCCCACCCTCTTTTTGTCTCAAAGGACACCTTCTCCAACTTCCCCGTGCGAGCCAGATTAAAGAAAGGCTCTAAACCTCACTGAGAAGGCTGGGTACGGAGGTAGTCAGGCCAAGAGGAGGCGTGGAAGGAAACTTCCAAACTTGACCACTTCTTGCGGTGAGAGAGGAAGTGGCGCTGCAGGAGGGACGAGAGGCCAGGGAATGCCCCCCCACCCCTCCCCGCCTGGCCTGCCTCATGCCTGGTCTTGTCTGGGGAAAGCCAGGACCTAGCCGAGCCTGGCGGCAGGAACAATGTCAGGCAGGTGCCGGCCGAGCTGCGTGAAAGGCCCAGCCCGGTGTCATTGTCAGAGCTCAGCCAAGTGCAGAAAAGCAATTTACTGGTCACGCCGCTTGCTCCCCACGGAAATTTTTAAAATTCTTCCAATTTGAGCTATCTATGGTGTCCCGAGTCATGTGGAGAAGGGATGAAGGGATTTTATTAAATTCCCAGCTTCCCACTTCCCAGGGTGGCTGAAGGGTGAGGGCGGGGCTCACCACTTTGGGGGTGGGCAAGATGGTATCTGGCATTGAATGTGCTCATGGAAACGTAGCTGGGGGCAGGGACCCATTCTGAGCCTGGTAGCGATGGACAGGAGGAAAGGAGGGGCCCAGAAACTCAGCTGCTAAGACTGGACCAGTCCTGGAAAACACTGAGGTGGGGGAGGGAAGGGTGCAGACGCATCCACTTCCCAGCAGCAACAATGCGCCTTCCTGGCTGGACGAGAATTTGCACAACTTCTTCCCCCACCCCAGCCCCCCATCATATACCAGTTTAACCCCATGACCACCCATTTCACAAATGATGCAGCTAAGACTCCAGGGATCCACGGAGAGGGAAAGACAGAGCTGGAGCTGGGGTTCAGGCCTAGGCCACTGGATAGCAAAGCCCTGAGCCCTTCACGCCATGCAGAGGCCTCCCTGGCCCCTGCTCACCCTAATGGAGCTTGAACTGCACCCACTAAGTGCAGCCTGCCCAAACCTCAGCAGGGAGCAGGCCTCAGACTCCTGGCAGTTAACATCATGTGGCTCCCACCCCTCATCTCAACCATTAAGGCCACCCCACCTTTGTTCCTATAGTGTGGATGGGAACAACCCTGCCCATAACCCCCAGGATAACACTGCTTCACCTTTGGGGGTCACAGATGTTTTGAAACTCTGTGGGGAGCCAAGAACCCTCCTCCAGACACAGCACGTCTGAGCACCATTTTCGCGCAACATTTCGAGGGCCTCTCCCTCCCACAGTCGCATCCTTTACACTCCAAGGGTACATGAACCTGGGTTAAAAACATCAGTCCTATGGCACTTCGGAAGCAGAAAGGTCGGTAGACAAAGGGGCAAAGGAAGGGGAAAGGTGGAGGCAGCGGGGAAAGGAGCCTCCCTCACCTGTTCCAAGGCTGCCTCTTGGACTCGGGCAGACCACCCAGCTCTTTCCCAAGATGCTGGCTCTAGCTCTGGCCAGGAGGTGGAGGTGGGATGCAGAGTCACACTCCCTCCCTCCAGCTCCCCTGGAGAACACAAAGATCACACAGCAGCCCCTCCTGGGCCCCACTTCAAGAAGAACCAAGAGCAGCAGGCATCAAGAGGCTTGAGCCACACGTCCAAAGGCTTCCCTGCTACTCCAAGCTACTCCATCCCTCCCGCCCCCAGGCTCAGCATTCTGGAATCGAGCTGTTGCCCAAGTCAGACAAGCGGACCCCCTGGAGTGACCCCAGGGCCTGCCCTCTGCTTGGGGACTCAGCTGCAGACCAGGCAGGCCATGCCTGGCACTGGCCTCCCTCTTTGACACCAGCCATTCCCCACCCCCGCCCCCATCACCACACAGGGTCACATCTGCTTTGGCAAACAGCCAGTCTTAAGTTACTGACTCCAGTTGTATTGATTCAAGGAGTCACTGGGGACCCCAGCCTGGCCAACAAGAGGAAAGAACCCATCAGTCCGTCTGTCCATCCACTCTTCCAGGCTGAAGCCCCACTGGATGCCACCAGCTTAGTGCCTATCAGGAGGGTAACAACCCTCTCCTGGGCTTTGAAGGAAGACACCAGGCCCGCCACTGCCAACACGCAGCAGTGCTCAAGGCACACAACACTCCCTAAGCCAGAAAACCGGGAGAACCACCGATTTCCTGTGCTCAAGGCTCTCTCTGGGGATCTCCAGAATCCAGAAGGCTAAGGTCTAAGCATCTTCTCTAATCCCAGAAAGCCACCTGCCTTCCACTGAGGGGGAAGGGTCAGACAACCCTCTTTTGGCCTGCGTCCAGTTCCTCCTGGCTGCCCCCTTGCAGCTCTAGGTGGGTGGGGGCTTGGGGAGCTGACGCTTCCTATTCCCTTTGCCCGCCGCCGCCCGCCTCCCATCCATGCACTGGCAGCCCTGGTCTGGTTCTAATCGGGGCTGAAGTCGGCTCCCTTTTCCCTCTTCTCTTTCCCTCCCCCCCCCCCACCCTTTTTCCTTCATTTCTACGGCTTTGGAAGCCAGAGCGTTCCAACTGTCTGCGTGCCAAGACCTTCCCGAGTCTGAAAGCTGCTGAAGTAACAGATCAGATTTTAGCAAGTGCTTTCCAGGCTGAGCGCCAAGCCCTCTTCTGATTCACGGAGAGCGAGCGAACGGGGAGCAGGCGGGGAACCAGCGAGAGCTGCACCACCTTGGGCGAGGGCGTGCTGAGCGCGGCCCGTCCGGGAGCGGCCTCGCGGGCAACTGCCACTCAGCCTAGGCACCCCGTGCCTCCACTCGTCCCGGGCGTGTGTGTGTCTGTGTGTGTGTCTCAGTGCAGCAAGCGACTTCAAAACCACAGGGTAATTTACCACTGAAGCTTTCTCCCTGGACTCGAAATCCACTCGGCTGAAAGCCTTTTTGTTTGGAAGCCGCGATGTTAAGGGAAGGTTGGCAGAGAAAATCCCTAGGTCCTACCCCTCGCTGGCTGCGGGCAGGGGTCTTAGAGCCAGGCAGATTGCTGCGGCTGAGTCCGCCGGCTCTGCGGGATCTCCTCCCAACCAAGGCCGACAGAGGCCGCGACTGCCCGGGCCGGCTCTAACTCCGAAGCAGAGCCCCTTGCCCTTGGCCGGTCCCCCGCCTGCGCAGGGTGCGCGCGGAGCCGCCCTTCCGCGTCCTGGGAACAGGTGCACTGGGCTTGGCGCCCAGGAGGGGTGGGGCACAGGGAGGGGGCGCGGCCGGGTAAGTGGGGTCAGCAGGTACCGCGAGGCAGGGGCGGGGGAGGTCAAAGTCAGGAGCCCACGTACCTGTACCTGGAAGCACAGCAGCAGGAAGTGTAAACACCTGCGGGTAAAAGATGGAGAAGCGGTCAGTGGGACCTGAGGGAGGGGGCGCAAGGACAGACAGACACGCGGTCGAAGAGTCGGGCAAACGAACGGGCGGGCAGACAGAGGCACAGGGCACAGGCACACGGACAGACGGCCAAGCAGGGTGGGCAGCCCCGCGCGCGGGCGCTTACAGGCAAGTGCAGGCGGAGGGCGCTGAATACATCGCTGGGCGGGAGGGAGGCGGCGGCTCCTAGCCCAGCCTGCACATGTCCGCTTCGCGCGGCTGGGACCGGGCGCCTCCGCCGCCGCCGCCGCCGCCGCCGCCGCTGCTGCTGCTCCTTCCTCGCCGGCTGCTGCTGCTGCAGACTCTGCTGCTCCGGGGCGCTCCGCCGCGTGCCCTGCGGCATCAGCGCCCCGCGCGGCTCCTCCCGAGCGCTGCGCCCTCCGGGCTGGCGCAGAGGCTGCGGGTCGGCAGCCGCTGTGCAGAAGGCGTCCGGCTGGTGCGGGGAAGCTTGCTCACTGCTGACCGGCCGTCCGGGCGTCTGCGGGAGGCTGGCTGCCCGGTTCAGTCCGCGGACAGCCTGCGCAGCGGGGCTGGAAGTCGGGTTAAGCTCTCCAGCAGGGGCGCGGGGCTGCGTGGGGCCAGGGTTCAGCGCTCCGGGTTCGGGGCGCGCGGCTGCGGCGCTAACGCGTCACGGCCGCTCCGTCTGGGCACCCGCCGGCTCATGTCTCCTCCTCCGCGTCTCTCCGGCCGTGCGCATCGCCGCCTCCCACCACTGGCGGCGGCCGGGGCGTTTTCTACGCGCGGGCGGCGAGGGGGCGGGGGGCCGGGGGCGGGTCCGGGCCCGAGCCGGCACAATGAGGATGCGGGGCCTGGGGGCTCCCCCCTTGGGGCGCGGCCGGACGGGCGCTCAGCTAGCCTGGGTGCGCCGAGCCCACATCAAAGGCGGCCCTGCCTTCTCGCCTGCCTGCCGCGGCCTCTTGCTGCCTCCTCCTCCTCCTCCTGGCGGCTCCGGGTTGGAGGGGAGGCGCTCAGACTCTCGGCGACAGGACCTGCAGCTCCGAAGGGGCAGGACCCGCGAGACCGGAGATAGCGCTGGAAGCCGTCGGAGCTCTGCGCCCGAGCGCAGTGACCCGCTCCTTCGCGCAAACGTTGCCCAAATTGGGCAGGCGATGCTCCTCAAGAACGCAGTTAGGTAGGAGCGTCCTCACCTGCCCACATTCGCTACTCGCGCTCACTCATCAGCGCTCGAGTGGGGACCCGGGAGAGGGCGGGTCACACCCAGCCCCGGGCCGGCTCCACTGAAGGGGGGTCGCTTTTACTCGCCCTGTGATCGTGGAGTTTCCCAGCCACGCTCTTGACTGGCTACCCACTTAAGTGAGCCCCTTCCTCTTCTTACGTCCCTGCTGCTGCGAAAGGGGCTCCGGAGCCTCTCTCCTTCCCACCCTTCTCCCCCTCCGGGGCTCTGGGGTCGGTTCACGGGATCCCAGCTAGGCTTTCCCATAGGCAAGCCAGCTCTGGAAACACACGGCTACCACCAAGCGGCCCCGAGACGTCACTGCAACCCCAGCACCGGCGGCTGCACGGCGGAGAGCATCCAGCAGGACTCTGGTCAGCGACCACGCTAAGGCCCTCTTTCGGCCTCCTCCCGATACCAGGCTAAGACTTGCCTCCGTTTGCATACTAAGCAGCTTCGTTCATTTGACCAGGACCCCATTCAAGACACTGGTTCTTACCGCCTCCGCCCCTTCCAGAGGCGTAACTCCTGTCCTTCTCACCAACCCCAAAACGTAGGTGTTCTGATCACGCACCTGCCTCACTGTCTAGAGCCGGTGTCAAGCAAGCTCTGCTTGGGCCTGACGCTAAGGAAAATAGGTCATAATGAGAAAGACACTTGAGAACTGGTTCAAGCAAAACTCAGGAATCCGGACTATTTGGTTAAAGCCTCCTTGCATTGGCAATGGTTGATGGTCCCATTTCACTAGAGCATAAACTGCGGTAGGTATTGACAAACGGTGCTATTTCCTGAAGTCATGAATATAAAACATTAGTAATTGTTCCAAATATCAGGCCTCACTGCAAGCTATTTTAAGTTCCCTTTCAAAGCTCAGGCTATTTTAAACAGCCTTTTTCAATACTGGACACAAGTGCAGAAAACCTTTTCAAACCAGGTGCTCAGTGATGGGAAAAATTCCTGCGTGAAGCTTTTGGGCTGAATTTACTTAGACATTCTGATTGCCAGAACTGGACTTGCAGAGTTACTCGTAACTTCCCAAGTTCTGGAGAAAATGAACCGATCCCAAGACAGGATGCAATGACCAACCATAAATAGAAATGGACAGAAATGCTCCCACCGGTGACCTGAGTCATGGCCGCCATCTTTGACCTTGCTTTATAGGAAGATTGACAAACCCAGTGAAGAGAGATTTTTGGCTTACCATCTGCTAGTCTGAAGTATCTCCTGGCTAAGAATCATGCTTCCAATTTTCTATACGGTTACTATTTTTTATTGTTTGTGGATGGAGTGGGTATGTAATATGTATACCCTATCTAAAATGCTTGCAATATTTTTCAATGTTCAGATAAGTATATTTGCCAATCTCACCTATCAAACAAATCGACCAAAAAGTCCAGTCAAAAGAGCAGTTCTGAGTAAGAAAAACTCAGGAGTCAGAGGTACTGCATTTGAATATTGCCACCAACATTTACTTATAAATCCCAGCAAGCAACAGTCTGAGACTCTTCTGCTTCCTCATCTACAAAATATGGCTGGGAATAGTAACGACTCTCACAGAGCTGTGAATCCTGAATGAGCGGTCTGCCACATAATGAAAGCTCCAAACGTTTTAGCTGTTAACTAATAATCCTAACTATGGTTTTCAGGTTATTTTCACATTTCTTTGTGATCAATTTCATGAAGTAGGGAGGCAGGATCATTTCCAATTTACAGTTGAAGTGGTGTCTAGTCAGAATGTCTTTTGACTCCAAATCCATTTTATACCACACATTCTTTTCCCCACCATTCACACCCTCAAGTCTAGTTTCATGTACCTATTTACCAATATGACCTATTTACCATATGCCTGAATCTTAAATTTGGTTATGTTCATACAACACTTAATATAAGCTGGGCACGGTGGCTCACGCCTGTAATCCCAGCACTTTGGGAGGCTGAGGTGGGCGGATCACCTGAGGTCAGGAGTTCGAGACCAGCCTGACCAATATCATGACACCTCATCTTTAAAAACAACAACAACAACAACAACAAAAACCCACTTCATAAATACCACTATTTTAGTAGTCACTTCTTGTAAATTCAATCACAGTTCACTGAGATCCTACAGTGTCGGGCCCCCATTAAAAGACAGGCAAGGTCCCTGCAGTAAAAAAGCACTTCTTTTCTACTAGGGAAGGTGGGCAATAAGCAAATACACCAAGATATAAATGCTGGTTGGCTACCAGTGCTTTGAGAAAAACCAGTTTGATGGGCACGGAAGATAGAGAAGCCAGAATACCTCTTGGTAACATTTAGGCTAAGACCAAAAAACAGGAGATAGTCAGCCATACAAAGGAGTATGTCAGGGACCTCCAGTGGACAAAGGCTAGGCAACTGGCAGGGTTAGTCCGGGAGAGTGTGGCAAGAGATGAGAGTGAAAACAGGCAGTGTGCTTGACCATGCCTTGCAGGCAGGCCTTCACAGGAAATTAAGTAGATGTCAACAGCTTTTTGAAGGGGACCAGTTTTGCAATGCATCAACTTTAAGTGTACAGTTCAGTTCTGACAAATGTATCCAGGTATCAGCACCACCTCTTCTCAGGTAATCTTCCCACCCCCAATTGCTGGTCCCAAGCAATCATTTATCTGCTGGCACTGGTTTATTTTCAATTTCACATAAACGGAACCACCCAGTATGTGCTTCTTTGTGTCTGGCTGAGCATGTTTGAGATTGATCCTTTGTTGCATTTTGTAATAGTCAATCCCTTTTCATTACGGGATAGTATTTTATAGTATAGATATGCCACAAGTTGTCAATTAAGGGCCTTGAAACTGAGTCAAAATCCAGTTTGTTAAAAAAATAAAAAATAAATTTAAAAAGCTTTACCCTGGGCTGGGCACAGTGGCTCACGCCTGTAATCTCAGCACTTTGAAAGGCCGGGGTGGGTGGATCATGAGGTTAGGAGTTCAAGACCAGCCTGGCCAAGATGGTGAAACCCTGTCTCTGCTAAAAACAGAAAAATTAGCCAGGCGTGTTGGTGGGTTCCTGTAATCCCAGCTGCTCAGGAGGCTGAGGCAGAGAACTGCTTGAACCCAGGAGGCGGAGTTTGCAATGAGCCAAGATCACACCACTGTGCTCCAGCCTGGGCAACAGAGGGAGACTCTGTCTATAAATAAATAAATAAATAAAGCATTACTATGGCTAAGGATGAAGTGGAATGCTGTTATACCATTCCACTTCATTCTTAGTAGCTGAAGTAAGGAGGACAGTGAGAAAGCTAGCTGGACTCAGATAAGAGTATGGTAGCTTGGGCTAGCCAGCTATGTGCTATTTTGGGGTCAGAATCAGACACACCTGCATTCAATTCTCAGCTCTAAGCTAATAAACTGAGGCAATTTTCTGAGGGGAGTTGAGAATGTATGTTGACTGGTAACCCCATGAAATGTAAGCCCTGCAGAGCATCTAAGTACCTTGCCTACTGACTAACCCTAAGCACCTAGAACTTTCATCTGAGACAGTATGTATTTAAATTAAATCCCCTTGTTCAAATGTGCAAGTAAAAGCCCTGCAATCTTTCCACTTGTTCTCCACTTCTCCCATCTTGACTGAGAAGATTCCTAAGATTCAGGGAATCTGTGGAGTACAAATATTGTGAAGACAGAGGGAAAACATCCAGCCTAAGAACGCAAAACAAACGCAGCCTCAAGCAACAGCACTGTCTTCAACAGTATCAGGTATTTTAGTAAGAAAAGTAGATCCTTAGCATAGACAGGCTCTAACGTTTTCAGAAAGTCATCTCCTAGAATTTGCACAGCATTAAAACTTGGGACCTCTGCTGCCAAGTCCATGAGTCAGGGAGCAACTGGCTCTTCGTTAAGGAACTGTTTGGGCAGTAGCCTCAGACTTTCTCAAATAACTTTAACCCTGTATTTCCAGAGTCCAGGCCACCCTTTAATGGGCTCAATATATACTTGTAACCCTCAACTTAACCCTTTTTTTCCTTGAACAATTTCCAACAAAAACCCACACCCTATACAATGCTCATCTTCTCTCCTTGCTCATTAGGCTAGCACTGTCAAGAGCTGCCTAACGGGTCATAGTGGCTCATGCCTGTAATCTCAGGCCTTTGGGAAGCCGAGGTGCTTGGATCATTTGATGTCAGGAGTTTGAGACCAGGCTGGCCAATATAGTGAAACCCTGTCTCTATAAAAAATACAAAAAGTGGTGGCATGCGCCTGTAGTCCCAGCTACTCAGAAAGCTGAAGTGGGAGAATCGCTGGAACCCAAGATGGGGAGGTTGCAGTGAGCCAAGATTGTGCCACTGCACTCCAGCCTGGGCAAGAGAGTAAGAACCTATCTCAAAAAAACAAAACAAAACAAAATAAAATAAGATAAAATAAAATAAAATAAAATAAAAAAGAAAGAAAAAAGAAAAAGAAAAATTTATCCATTAAAAAAAAAAAAGCTGGCCAGATGCGGTGGTTCACGCCTGTAATCCCAGCACTTTGGGAGGCCAACGCGGGCAGATCACCTGAGTTCAG